TAGAATCTATCCTACCATCTCAGTATTCAAACCTGGAGTCCTCTGACTTTTAGTCTGCTGCCCTTGCCATTACACCACACATGCATTACCTCCAGGGCTTGATAAGGGCATATTTCAGACCCCTGAGTTCCAATCCATGTAAACTGGAGTGTTTAAAATGTTCTTAAACTCACAAAAACTATGATGTATAACAGTGCATCTATAAAATGTTCTAATATAAAGGTTTGATACAATATAATACAAGATGCTAAGCCATAGCACAGAACATTAACACAGCAGGCTTTGACAAAAATACAAGTCCTTCTTTCTAGTGAAATCTTTGAAAAACTATGAACCAGCTTCTTACCCCTTGTTGCTCCCGTGAAAGTAGCCCTTTCTTCTGCTATTAACTCACATTCCCAGCTTGACACCTTATGGCTAATAATGTTCATACTTGACTGAACTGAAAAGAGAACAAAAAGACATAGAGAAGAGGGACTACACAGAAATGCAGCCATCCTCAGAGAAAGGCCTGCAGAGGAAGAGCCAATACTATGGCTACAAAAAGAGACAAGAGGAGAGGATGAACAATTGCCAGATGAACACTTTAAAAGGGTGAATAGGCACATCATGGACAAGCAGTTCAGACATTTCTTTTCTGGTGCTGTGAATCATGTGGGAAAAGCGAAGGGAAGGCCCACCAGAGAAGAGAATTATTTCATTGCCTAGAAATCCCAGTTTCTTTCCCCTTGAAAGGTACTAGTCTAAGGTTGGAAGCCCTATTTAGATCCACAGGGAAGGAGAAGACCCACCAGAGGTGGAAACATTGCTCTAGCAACTCTTGAATGGGGAGGAAAGTATTCAAAATAGTACAGTAAGTCAGTAAAACTCTAGTCTAGAAGATATCTGAGGAGGGTAGAAACACCAAAGAAGGGAGGGCAGTTGTTTTGATTCTTTATGGGCTTGGATGATTATCTTTTGGTTTTTGTTGGATGAAATAAAACCTGTCCTATATTTATTTTCTTGTTCTTAGCCCTTAGCATGGGACCTGAGAGATTATTCTCTTTCTTTCTTTTTTTTCTTTCTTTCTGGCAACTTAAATCCTATACATGAAGCCAATTCTTAGGTTTCCAAAACCTTGAATGAAAACACAAGTCAAAAGAGATTTATCACAGACTCTCAAGATGAACGCATTTATGAGCTCAGAGCCTCATCAGATATTTGTTAAACAACTACTATGTGCAGAATATTGTTTCAAGTGCTTAGAAGAAATAAAAAGTTTGGTAAAGATATGCTCCCTGCCCTCAAGAAGCATTCTGTCTAATAGGATATATCATATACACAAATAGTCATTTTTACCAGTATTACGTGATTGTCCATTAGAGAAGGTCCAAGTGTGCTGTGTTTCATCTGAGGGGCAGGAGAAGGTCCTTATCAGCATAGAATCAGGAAAAGCTCCTTGGAGGAGGCAGCGTTTGAAATGGATTTTTAAAATTGGATAGCAATTGAGCAGATGATGAGAAGGCAATAAATGCCTGTAGATGGACCTCATTTATAGACTGCCTCACAGACCCACTGAGCAGATTTGCCTGCTTTGAGAAACATTCCTGAAATCTCAAGACTGCAAATCATTCCCACTGGTTTTTTAATTCTAGTGTGTATTTAACATAAGTCTCTGGATTCTCTTTCCGCCAGTTCTTGTTGCCCTTGTCATAAAAGCAAACAGTCCCCTTGCCTGCTCAGGACAGGCTGAGAAACTCACTGAAGTATCACTCTAAGCTTAAATCCTCAAATGGCTTATGAATTTACACCAGCAGAGAGTAGAAGGTCAATGTAGGAAGCATTAGTGTGTTGAGCCAGCTCCAACTACATAAGTCTTAAACCAAATTAATATATAGAAATTGACAAGCCTTTTGCTGGGTGCTCCGTAGCTTTAAGACCTCTACTAAAATCCCATCATCTCATCTGCCCATTATTAACATTTCAGCAAAATATAAAGTTTTCATTAATCTCCCCCAGCAAATTTAGGACTGAAAACTGGCAGTTGTTTCAGCTTTTAGGACTACATTAGCTGGTGTATTAAACAAAATGTGTCATACTTCAGTATCTTCTACAAGAAACTAAATCAATTTCCCCCCATATTTATGCACCACTTTATCTAAAAGCATCTGAATTATCATTTACAGCGAAGATGCTTTATTAGCAGCTGGCACTGAAATTGCTCAGTAAAAAATTATATGTCACGTTATAGTAATTTTTAAATTGGTTTTAATCCAACATCATAAAATGTAAAATCTTGAGTGTAGGGTTGTTTTTCTTTTGTTGTTTCCCCCTAGTAACTGGGCATATTAGCTTAATGAGATGTTACCTCTTTCTTTCTACATCCAATACCTGCAATATTTAGGAAGTAACAATTAATAAATAATTTAGGTTCTTAACTCAGATATCAGAATGAAGTTGTTTCAGGTAATTGCATTTACTCAAAAAATAGATTTAAATAATTCTAAAATATTTAAAGGTTTTCATATTTTTGCCAAAATTTTCACATTTAAAATGTCCTAAAATAGAAATTAACAGGCATTTTGTCAGTTATGTTTCAGTTAAAGTATAGATTTAGGGAAATGAACGATCATTAAAAACTGTAGGCAATAACCAGCCACCCTCATGAAAATACTAGAACAAAGAATGATAGGATAGAAGGGACCTTAGAACATAAAATGCTCCAACAGAGGGTATTAGAAGTAAATGGTAATTTTAGAATGCAGAATGTTAGAACTGGAAGGGACCTAGAAACACCAAGGCTCATTGCCTTCTGTTCTGTTGCTGTTGCGTGAAGGACCACTACACTAGGCCTTATTTTCTGACCTGCTGTTGCTATACCTGAAAGACCACCAAATTTACCACATGCTGACACCTATTAGAGTGAGGGCTCCTGAAGAGTAGGGATATTATTATCTCAATTCTCTATTTGTAGCATCAAAATGTAGCACAATGCATAGCTTAATAAAAGCTTTTTCATTCTTTTATTCATTCATCAAAAATTAAGATAGAAAAGGAACTTAACAGAGAATAGGTAGTCCAGTAGTCTCCAAACCTTTTTGGTCATGTACCCCTTTCAGTAAAAAAATTGTTAAGCCCTATATGTACACATATGTATGTGTGTATGTTTTTGTAATTTACAAATTATATACACATACTGTTGTACCAATAACTGTGGATATTGTAAAACTTTAAAATAGACACATTTAAAAAGATGAGATAAAGATGAAATAATATTTGATTCTAGTCCTTGAGGAGCCACTGGAATATATTGAATGGGAGAGTGATATGGTCAGATCTGTGCTTTAAGAATAGCATTGTGAGGGGGCAGCTAGGTGGCTCAGTGGATAGAGCACCGGCCCTGAAGTCAGGAGGACCTGAGTTCAAATGCGGCCTCAGACCAAACACTTGACACTTACTAGCTGTGTGACCCTGGGCAAGTCACTTAACCCCAATTGCCTAAAAATAAATAAATAAATGAATGAATGAAAATAAAAAATAAATAAAAAGAATAGCATTGTGGCAACTATACAGAGGATATATTAGAGTAAGGAGATACTTCAGGAAGACAAATTGGGAGGCAATAGTCCTCGGCAGGGGTGAACACATGAAAGCTGATGAGATCACCAAGAGGGAGTCTAGAGAGAGGACACCCACAGCAGAGGGAGGAGGGACATGGATGATGATCCAGTGAATGCCACTGAGGAGAGCCAAGAGAGAGGAATGTTACCAGAATGCCAAAGAAGAGTATTCAGAAGGAGAAGGTGTTCATCGGTATGTTGCAGAGAAGTCGAGCGGGATGAGGACTGAGAAAATGCCAACAGATTCTGGAGTTAAGAAATCATTAATAGTTTTGGAGAAAGCAGTTCCAGTTGAATGATGAGAATGAATGGAAGCAAAGTTGTAAAGGGTTGAAATAAGATAAGAAATAACTTCTTTGAGATCAGATGACGAGGTGTCAGCATGCTAGGGAAGGCTTGACGGAGGAGGTGGCTCCTGAGTTGGACCTTGAAGGATGAGTAAAATTTAAAGAGGCAGAGATTATGGTAGAGATCAGAATAATGGTGTACTGTTGTGAAAAACACTCAACTCAGTGAACAAAGCCCATGTTCAAATCTTGCCTCCAGCACTAGTTGGGTGACCATGGAAAAGTCATGCTTCCTTTCTAAACCTGTGTCTTCATTTATAAAATGAGGGTAATAAAACCTGTAGTAGCCACCTCATGACATTGTTGTGGAGCATCAAATGAAAGCACATGCATAAAACATTTAGCAAACTTTAAATAAAGTACTGTGGAGTTATTGGCTATTCCTACAGTGAAGTGTGAGTAATCCATTTGGCTAGAAAATTGAGTCCAGATGGGAGAAGGTAGTAATGTGAGATCAGCCTGGAAAATAAGGCCATTGCTAAACTGGCCATTTTAGGTGAATGAAGATGAAGTCCTTAGGTTTCTGTTCTCTTCTCTTCAATACTACGGTGGGCTGTGATCCCATTGGTATGGGTGTTCCTTCTTGACCAGTGCAGATAAGCAACCCACCTCCACCTTCTCATTCTCTGCCTTTTTCATCCATACTTTTCCTCCAGGGATTTGGCTGATTTACTAAAGGCCTTCCTCTGTTTGTTGGTTGTTTTTTAAAAATATCTTTTATAGCTACCAATGTGGCATGTGGTGGATCAGCTGTTCTCTCTCATTCTTGCTCCATGACTCCCCTGCCTACTTTTACTTGCCCTTTAAGATGTCTTTTATTCTACTTCTTACAGTGTGTCCTCATTGGGAACATTATTCAGCCTGCTGACCTCTGCCACATGCCTTTTCATTGCCTTTTAGATCATGCCGTGCTATTAAGTCACCTCTCTGCTTTTTCTTCTCCAACTTAAATAATCCACGTTACTTTAACTTTTCCCTAATGGCCTTGGCCATATGCTATTGTTTGGTCTTTCTGTATCTTCACATATTTGACCACGCTGTTGATTCCTTACAGGTTCCAGGGGAGAAGGGATTTCGGAGGAGGATCCTCAGACTGACATAGCCACAGTCCAAGACATGCTGTCCAGTCACCATTACAAATCTTTCAAAGTCAGCATGATTCACCGACTCAGATTCACAACAGATGTGCAGCTAGGTAAGACACAGATACAAGGCTAATTTCACTTTGTAAATCTTCAGGTTTCTTGAATACCATAGCATATGAGTATGGCGTGAAACTGTGCGCAACTTTTATGTGGCCCAAATGACTAGAAGTAATTTATTTTCTGAGAAATTGTCTAAACAATGAAATTTAAAATATGTAATTTTTCCCACCTGAGGGAATGATGAATGCTCATTGCTCCAGCTTGTCTTCCTGCTTATTACGAAGCATATTGGAACTAGAAGGGACTTGAGGCTTTCTTTTCAAATGGATTCATTTATATGTAAGATTCCATAATTTTTGTTCAGCATAATTGACTAAAGAACTTAATTTCTCCCACAAGCTGCCTTTGGAATAACTTCTTTCTGATTGTCTCTTTTCTCTAAATATATGTATCCTTAGACAAGTCATCTCTCCTCTCTGACCTCAGTTATCTCATTTGTAAAATGGGTGATGGAGTTAGGGAGGAAACTGACCTAGATGATCACTCAGCATCCCCTAGTTATGATGATCTGTAAACTGAGATCTCTTTCATAGTTCCATCTTAGGCATTCCTGTTCTGAGGGGCCTTCCAACTCTGAAATGTTATATGGAGAAGGGGGTGGAAGGTTCTAATCCTAACAGTCTGTGCGCTGTGTTCTGAGGTTCCTTCTCTTTTTAGCATAGTTTGTTCCAGCAGTCTGTATGCCTTAAGTCCCTTCCAGCTCTGATATTCTGTTCCATGTTCCAGGGTACTTCCCTATACTCACATTCTCAGTTTCCAATAAAGCACATTTCTTTTTCCATCTGTAATACTGACCTTTATGCTTTTGGTGACTCTCAGAGCTTATATTTGAATCTGTACCAAAGATTTAGAACTAACTTAAATACCAAGATTTTGTCATATAAGCAGCATCCTTCTTTATGATTCATGATAAAGAGATATGTTTCTGTTTGGCTTGAGCCTGAAGTGCCATAAGCTGAAAAATATGATAATAAAGTCAAGAGACCTGGAATCCAGTCCTGGCTCTGCCACTGTCTCACTTATGTGACCTTGGGTCAGTCACTTTACCCCTGTGTTTGATCTTCATGTACTCAGACTATTACTAAATATCTTCCAGCTGTGACATTCTTTGTTCTGAGAGTCTTTGCAGATCTGACACTCTGTATCCTAAAGTCCCTTTTTACATTCTATCCAGTGAGTTTCCCTCCAGCTCTACATTCAATGATCTTCTAAGGGGTTAGACTTGTTTTACTAGGAATACTAGGTGGAAGCTGCAGAGAGACTCAGACCTGATGTAATTAAATATTTCCTACCTTTTAGAGCTGCCCAAAAGTGGTATAGGTTACTCTATCAATAATAGGTTCCCCGCTTTGGAGAGTTTCAAGTAGAGGCTGTGTGACCATCCTTCCTTGCCTGGTCCTAGTGCCCACACTTCCTCTTCTGACTGCGCTTCAGCTGGCACATGGGAAATCTCTGACTATATCATGCCAGCGTCCCGAGACAAAGAAGGTGTTGGAGAGAGGAAGACTTGAAAACAAGACAAAAGCCAATTCTCTCTTCCTCTTGCTTTTTGATCTCAGTAATAGTGGCCAACGAGCCCAAATGCTTTTGTCAATGAGCCCTTCTTCTCTGTTCATTCCTGTAGCCCTGTAACATGGCTGCCCCTCTTTCCTTGACCCATTCAAACAAAAGATAGATTTTGACATTTGCCTAGCTACAGTAAAAGGATGAGACCATAGAAAATATACAGTACATAGAGCATAGAGTATACAGAATTAATAAAAAGAGAACCAGGAATATCACCCCCACTGCCAAGGGAGTGAACAAAAGCTCCAGTCAGAAATTGAGTGGTTTAGACTCAGTACTGTAGAGTTGGCCATCATGTTTCCAGGAATGATAAACCATGCATCTTTCCCCAGTCTTTTTTCTGCTCAGCTCTACCTTATGCAGCCTTTAGTTATCTAGGAACAATTTCCAGTGGCCATGATTTTGCCTCCCTTGGTATCAGTAGACCATTATATCTGCCCCACAAGCTAGAGAACTATCCATTCACTCTGGGTATAGTCTTACAACCATAGACATGGGAAGAAACTGAGCAAAAGTAGGAGCAACTGGGGCAGTTATAGGAAGGCAGATTTAAGCTAGTCATAAGGAAAACCTTCTGAATAGTCAAAGAGCTGTCTCATAGTGGTATAGGCAGCCTCAGTGAGTACTGAGTTCCCCATCACTGGAGGTTTTGAAGCAGAGACTAAAGAAATACTTGTTGGGAATGTTAGAGGAAATTCCTGCTCAAGTTTGTGTCAAGTTGCCTGACCTCTGAGGTCCTTTCCAGCACTGGAATTATAGAATTCTGTAGTTTAATTCCTAATACCAGTTATAAGGGTAGAGGAAAAAGGACAGTCTCTCATGATCTCCTAATAGTCTGGTTCAATTTTTAAGCACAAATATAATTGATACTCTTAATTAATAAATAATTGGATAGGGGAGGAGCTTGTGTTTCTAAGGGGCTTTCTCAATCAAGGAAGCATTTTCAAATTATTTGCTTCTGTGATGAAATTCAAGAGTAGTCTCCAGAGTCATAATGGAGCCCTTATCAACTCTGAGGAAGTCCATTTCAGTTTCAGTTCAATTTAACAAATATTTCTTAAGGATCTGCTGTATCCAGAGCCTTCTATCTGAAGCTTAGGGGACATAGAAAGTTTAGATTAGACATCATGCCCACTCCCATGGGAGTCTTAGTCTGGTAAAAGGACATGACATATACACAGAGAGCTATAATGCACAGTGTTAGATGAGAGAGGTACAAAACAAACTGCTGTAGGAGGGCCAGGGGCACAGGCAGGCAGCATGAAAGTTGCATTTTCAGAGATGGATGGGATTTCATGAGGTAAAGAATGCACTCCATCCAAAGGGCAGCAGCACCAAGTGACCATGTAGATGGAAGACCAAACAGCATGTGCGTTAGATGGAGGGTGGGGACAGTTTGGCTGGCACCTACACAGACTAAATAGAATTAAGTTATGTGAAACAGCCTGAAAGGTAAGGTGGTGCCAGATTGTAGGGATCCTTGAACACCAGTCTAAGGCATTTGACCTTTACTTGGTAGGCATTGAGAATTTACTGAAGGATTTAAAGCCGAGAAGTCACGTGACAGATCTTTGGCTGAGAAAGATTCAGTCTGGCAATGTTTGAGAAATGGATTGGTGGGAAGAGCAGGTGGAAAGACCTGTTAGAAGAGTGTTTTAGTCCAGGTGGGTAATAATCAGGATATGTGTTAGGGTGGTGGTAGTGGAACTGAAGAAAAGAGGAATGGATGCAAGGTAATCAGAAACCTTGTGAAATTCAGGTGAAATACATTGATATGTATTGTGATTCTTTACATATTTGGGAAACTGATGTTTCCTTACTTTATAAGGGCTATAAAAGGTATCATGTCTCTCCTTATAGGGGAACCCCTTTATTCAGACTTAAAAATATAAGTGCTCACTCTGGTCCAGAAATTTCTTTGTATTGAAATGCAGTCTTGCACAAAGTGGAGCCCAGCAAAACAGTACACACTTTATGAGCAATGAAATGAACTACGCTGGATTCTGAGAACAGTAAATAATTTAGTTTATTTCAACTGACTAGGCAGGTTCTTCAAATCTCTCCTGACACTGATGAATGAATGGTCTCCTCTCTCCGTCTGTCCTCTGTCAGTCAGAACAAGATATTTCACTTTCGACACCTGTGGCGTCATCTTCTAAGTGGTGAGTGTTTGTATGAGGCCCTGAGAGTATCCTGTCTTCAGGGTTTGCCAAAACCACTCTGAGTTATTAACACAAAAGATATCACAGCTGTAAGCTGGAATCCTCCCGCTGCTGAAGGCCATTATAGCTCAGTGTCATCTAGAAAGATTTCCCAGCTAAAAGGGACCTTAGAGGTCATCTGTTCCAAATCCCTCACTTTACAGATTAGAAAAATAAAGCCTGGAGTAAGAGAAGGGACTTACCCAGTGTTACATAGCTTTTAAGCGGCAAAGCCAAGATTCAGACCCAGGTTTTTCAGCCCCAAGCCTGATACACTTGATACCCCACTATGCTGAACTTCTGATAGACTGCTATTTCATACCCAAACCTTTGTTTTCAAAGGAAGGAGCAGTGAAGAAGATACAGATTTTGTTCTTGGTCCTGCACTCACTTTCTACTCAGACCATTCATGGATCTTATTCATAAGTGCTATTTAGAGATCCAAGAAAAACTCTAGAAATTGTAAAGAGTGTCATGGGTATCAGGTTAGAGGTAGACCTATTATCTCATCCAATCATTAAACCAATCTTTTAACAACTCTTGTAGATTCCAGTTGTGTAACAGCTCATTCATCTATCCTTTGCCCTCTATTTCCACTGCCACCACTCTTATTGAACTCATCATAACTACATGTAATAGCCTCTTTTCAGGTCTTTCCTCTCCAGTCTTCCCCCTAGAATCTGTACTTAATGTCATTGCCAGGCTTATTTTCCTTATGTATGGATGTAGTCTTTTCACTTCTCCACTCAAATTCCTTTAGTGACTTTCTAGTGCTTTCCAAGCAAAGTTCAGACTGCATTCAAGGCCCTCCCCAATTTGGCACTACTATACCTTTCTTACCTTGTCTCATATAGGGCCTGACACATAGTGGACACTTAGTAAATTCATGCTGATTGACTGGCACTGCTCCCCCACTATGTACTTCATGTTCCAACCAAACTGGACTATTGGACTTCCTTGTAGTGACCCCCTTTTTTCAACCCCATTGCCTTTGCTCCCACTGTTTCCTGTGCCTAGAATTCCCTATCTTCAAATGGTGTAAATTCTTACTCATCCTTTAAAACTGAATTCAGATAACTTCGCCAGGAAAGATTTCTTAATCTCATCCCCTTGTAGACATTCCCCATGCTGACCTTCCTTTCCTCTTCCTATGTCACATCTCTCTCATATACTTGTATTTTATTTTGTATTTTGTGTGTGTGTGTGTGTGTGTGTGTGTGTAG